CAGACATTTCAAGGCAGGATTTGTTTCTCTTGTTAATTGAAATAATCTGTTACTTAGGCCAATGAGACATATTTACTATGGGACCTTAGCTGTGGAGATGAATATTTTTACAGCTGCCCTCATAAACCCCCTCCCCTTGTCTGCTGCCCAGGGAGGGGGCGGAGCTCCAGAGGTGAGCCGAGGTGCCTGCACTGTCTCAGAAGCCCCATTAAGTTGTTAAGGCATTTAGTGCCCCAGACAGTGCCGACTGCAAGGGCAGTTCAAATCCCCACCCAGATGGGGATGGGACTGTGAAAGGGGGGGCTCTGATTTCTTCCCTGGGTGGGGCACAGAGTCCACCTTGGTCAGGGGCAACAGTTGGAGGGGGAAGCAGTAAACCAGCCAGACTGGGAGACTCCCACCCTCACCTCACCTCCTCGGCCATGTTCTCCCAAAGCCTCTTTGTCATTCAGAGGGGAGCAGGAAGAATGTGGGAGAAGAAGGGACTGTGAGGGGATTCTGTGTGTGTGTGTGTGTGTGTTGATTTTCATGCCTGAAAAGTTCTTAGCATCTGCATAAAGCAAAGAAAGATGGACAGTGTGTGACAGCTCAAAATGTGTCTCTGCCTCTCACTAACTAGATGAACTAGGGCAAATTACTTACATTCTAAGCATCTCACTCTCCTTAACTGTAAAATGGGGATGAGGACACAGATGGTTTCTAAGTACCAAGGTTGTTGTGAGGATTAAATGACATGATGCTTGTAGGTGCTCAGCCCAGGGCCTGGTATGCAGGAAGCGCTCAATCGACACTAGCTGTGATGGTTATTCACAGTTAGTCAATAAACCCTGCCACTGAGCACTTTGGAGATTTCCTTGGGTCCTGCAGATTTCAGTATCAGGGAAAACAACAGCAACCATCCAGATATCCTGGCCCAGAGTTTGGTTTGTCTAAGACCCAGAGTTAGATTCCTGCAGGTGACTTGGGAAGAGATGTGAAAGGGAATGAGGGGGAAACAGGAGGCAGGATTCTCTGGTTTCCAAGCTCTGATCTGACCATCAGGGTAATCAAGTCCACTGGGTTTGGAGAGAGAGAAATAGAGTTCCAAGGGGGCGAGGAGTAGGCAGTCACAGAAATAAATGTCTCCTCTTAGGCAACAAGGCTGTGGTTCAGGGGGTCTGAAGGTTATCCTGCAAGGGCTTCTCCCCTCTGTGCCTCACTTTCTTGCTGGGAGAATGAGCCCCCATCTCCATCTCCAAAGGTGATATGAGAGGGAGGAGATTATGCGTGGGGTGAATGAAGACCTTCTACCTTTCCCTTGCTGTTGCAAGGTGGCCAGGTGAGTTAGCTGGAGGTGGCCAGGTGAGTTTGCTGCAGACTGGAGCAAAGGGTACAGTGAGCAAGGCCACCACAGATGGTGCAGCCAGATCCCATGGCTTGGGCCAACTCTCGCCCAGCTTCCAACCCACGCCAACTTCCTCCTCCTCTTCCAGCCGATCAATACGAGCACCAGTCTCCAACCAGCCCTTTTCCTTGCCACTGCCCTGCTCTCTGACCTTTTGGGGGCCTTTCTCTTGATTCTACTCCAGAAAGGAGGTAGGGGCCATCACTCCGGGCCTTCTCAATGGCCTCAGAATGGGCTGTCACGGGGCCTATAACCAGGGACAGCTCCTGCTGGCGAGAGCTGGAATGGGGGGGTGCAGATAAAGGCCTTCCAGGCTGAAGATAAATGGCTGCCTGCAGCCTGCTACAGTAACTTCAGGCCCCCAAGAAGAGCAAACAAAGGGTGTCCCTGTGACACTCACTGGAAAGATGAAGGCCCATCAGCGGCAGCCAGGCCGGTTCAAAGCCCCAACTTAATTGTCAATTAAGCATGCATAAGGGAGACAAAGCCATGACAACCCTAGGCTGCATGCTGGTGTGCGATTGTAAAGCCGGGAGGGGCTACGCTGACAACAGCTGATTCTGCTGACGGTGTGCTTGTAGGGCACCTTGTAACCAATCAGCTGCTGACAGAGGCAAAGGGCTCCTCCTGCCACTCCTATTGTGCCGGACATTCCAGGACCAGGGTCACACTGTGGTCATCGTGGGCAAGTGGGCCACAAGGTGCTAAGTGTGGCTGGGAAGGACGGGGCTCAGAGAAGGATGCTCTCCTCTCCAGGAGGAGGGTTTGAGGAAAAGATTTGTCTCTGAGGTGCCTCCAGTCCTCCTGGCTCAGATGCTGGTGTTTGGAGGGGAGAGAGGGAATGGGGTGCAGGGTGAGGCGACTGGGGTGTCCTCTCCCCAGCTCAGCCTAAGGGGTTGCTAGTGCTGTCTCTGGAGGTTGGCTTCCCCTCGACCACCACAGAGCTCTTTTTGTCTTCTGCACCCAGTTATATTTTGGGCTTGGTTAGAGACCACACCTTGGTTGAAGGGACCATGATGGGACATGAACCATGAGGCTCTGCAGAGGCCTTCCCTGAGTGCTGGCCTCCAGCCTGCCATCTGCCCAGCCCCAGGTGTGTTCCCCAGGAGCCCTGTCACAGCTCAGGTGCTGCCTGCCCTGGCAGCCTGAGATGGCGGGGACGCAGGCACCGATCCTCGCATCCTGCACCCCAGGCACCAGCCAGCTTCCAGTCCCAGGGCCAGGACACATCTCACTGCCTCTCAGGAATAACGCCCCTGTGTGTGAAACTGAAAAGGAAATAGGTTTCTGCTGCCCATCATTCTTTCTACTGCAGCTTATTTAGTTCTCTGTAATAATAAGAGTAATGATGATAGCAGTTATGGTTTATTGGGAAAGATGTTGCTTACATATTCTCTCATTTAATCCTCCCACGGACCCTGTTAGGTCGGTACTAGTCTCTATTTTACAGACAGGAAACTCAAACTCAGAGAAGTTACGTGAATTTGCCACGCTTCAGTTAAAGGAATTAACCTGGCTGGTTAGAACCAGGATTCAAAACTAAGTCCAGAGAATCCAGTCCCTGGGCGTGGACAAGGATGATCTTGATGAACCTCGAGTAAAATTAAGGTGGAGAGGAAGGCAGCCTCCGAAAATACAGAGTGTCCCATAATTCTTGCTCCATAAACAGCAGTCTCTCCCTAGAAAGACGCACGCAGCCCCCAGAGATAATCTTGATCTCTAGCTGGTCTGGGGACTCCACACCAGCACGATGTCTCCCCAACTAGATGATAAGCCCCCGAGGGCAGGGACGTGTGTCTCACTCATCACTAGCACAGTGCCGGGACTTGTTACACACTCAGTGCACGTCTGTGCTGCGGGAAAGTCCAGAGTGGGAATCAGCAGGCCTGAGTTCTAGCCCCTGTTCTGCTACCATCGCTCTGTGTAACTCTGGGCCTCAGTTTCCTTCTTTGAAGTCCCTCCCAGTTCTAATTTCCATGCTTTTTTAAAAGGCCAACATTTCTGGGGACCCCAGAGACTCCGCTTCCAGGGGGATGTGCTTTCTCAGACTGATGAGAGGGGTCTTGAGGCTGCCTTTCCCACCCACCCTGCCCATCTCTAGTACCTGCTCCTGTCCCTCCTGCCCCAGCTCTCTGTGTCTCCTGTCAGTTGACAGAATGCCTAAGCGAACGACCCCGTGGTGACCTCACCACAGCCCCAGCTTGTCAGAAAGCTGCTGGGCCTTTGTGTGGCCTGCAGGCTCCCTGACTTTGGTGTGGAGATCACAGGTCCCAGCACAATAGCCATTGTCTTCTCAATAATGCCCCTTGCCCCAACCACGCCCCCCGCAGCTCCCAGAGCCAGCTCTGTGGATCACTACCGGCGCAAGGGCTCCAGTCCTGCTCAGGGCCAGCCACATGTCGTTTGCCACCCGCCTCTGAACCCTGCTTCAAATTCCCAAATTTCCAACAAGGGGCTAAGTTACTCTGCAGTCAGGCCACTGTTGCTCTGGAGGCTTCTCTGTCTCTCAAGAGCAACTCAAACTTTCTCCTCGTGTGGCTGAGCCCTTCCCTTCTGAGAGCCAGATCTTGAGAAGCCCTCAGCCCCGGCCCAGCCTTCATGCTGGACTGAAGGCTTCATTCAGGCTCCCAGAGACCCTTGGAGAGGTCATGCTACGGGAGGGCACAGTGTGGAACAAATGCTTGGATACCGCCCAGCTGGTGGCTCTGAGTGGTCCCCCAACACTTAGGCCAGCTCCCGATCTCAGGTCTCTCCCAGCAGAAGGGCAACCAGCAGGTGAGGTGATGAACAGGTTTCAGAATCATCCCCCAGTTAGAAACAGTGCTTGGCTCTGCTTTTGCAAGCTCTTCCCCAGAGCAGGCAGGAGACCATGTCACACTCTGTCTACACGGGAACCAAGTGACCTCAATAAGCATGCCCATTCTGGGAAGCCAGCTTTCCTGGAAGAACTAAGTCCTGGGGCAGAAGTGCTCACCCCCAGCCTAAGCCTGATGCAGTGGTCAGCATATGGGGTGCTTTCCCACAGTGAAGATGGAGGATTCGGTGCTGACAAGCTCACACCGCACGGCAGAGGGTCTGGCACCCAGTAGCACACAGCAGGTACAACTGGTTTTGGCTAACTCATATCTGCAAAGATTTCAAATGACTGACTCCATCCCAACTTGGATGGAGAACAGAAGCCAACAAGCAGAGGCTGCCAAGAGAGGCCCCTGGGCTCCTCCTGCTGGAGCTGGACAGAGCCCTGGGTGGCACATGGATGGGGGTGGAGGAGGTGACCCCTCTGCCTGTAGTTTGGACCTATATACCAGTAAGGCAGGCATCTGGGTCTAATATGATGGTGGCACTGACCTGCTCACTGAGTCAGCAGACGCCCAGGGAGAAGAAAGAAGGACTAGAGAAGAAGGGGGCGAAGGGCTCCCTGAGGCCGAGCAAGGACTCAAAGGAAAACTGACCACAGCCACACATTTTCACGAGGATATTCTGGCAATGGGAGGAGGCCAGGCCTAGGACCAGCCCAAAGCATTTCCAACTCTGCAAAGTCTTGACCCAGATGAGACCCATGGGGAGAAGCAGAACGGTGGGGCTGCCGAGGCCGTGGGGCCTGGGCCCTGCTTACCTGTCAGCTTGTTCGGAGGAGAGGTGCTGGGCTGGTGGTGAGGGGAGCCGTGGGAGAGCAGGGGGTTCAGGCTGTGAGTCTGGTTGGAGCTATAGGCGTCCATGGCCAGCTTCTGCCGGAACGCCTCCTCCTTCCTGCGGTTTGCAAACCAGTTGTAGACGCGGACCTCAGTGACCAGGTTGGAGCCCAGCCCATGGGCCTTGGAGGGGGAGACGCCTCGCTGCAAGCATTCTGCCCTGAGAACGGACGGAGGGAGACAGTGAGTGGGGGTGGCCAGCAGGAGGTTTGCTGATGTTTGGCCCCAAACACGCAATCGCACTGGTCTTGTTAGGAGTGCGAAGAGGCCAAGGATAGAGTGGGAGCCTGGGGAAGAGTCTCTCCTGAGAAAAGTCCCGCCCGTGGAGTCCCCTCATGCTGATGGCTGGAGTGGGGCCAAACACAGGTACAGAGCAAGCCCTGCTGCCCTAGGCTGCCGCTGCGGCTCCTGAGTAAAAGTCAGCAAGCCGAGGGCAGGAAACTCCAAGGGGCAGGTGCAGACTGGGCCTCCTGACATCTCCTTATGTTGCTATCCTTCCAACCCTACAAATGGCAAAGTCTGACCCTTCAAAGCACTCTCAAAAGACTTCTGGTCTTTCAGGGTTTGGACGCCCCGAAAGGGAACCAGAGAAACCAGATCCTTTATTGCCACAGTAGGAATCCCCTCCAAAGGGCAGGCTGGGTGAAGTAAAAGGAGGACATGTAGACGTGGCTGGTCTCTAGTTTTAGCATTGCTGAGGAAACCCCAATGCCAGGCGTGAGAGATATTCTTGGGCACCACTGGATGCTGGGGCGCTTCTCGTTAGCAGGCGGACAGAGCACAGCCTGAGGACTCTGTGACACGTACAGGCTGATCGTTTTGCCTCCCCTCTTCTTGCCTGACCTCCCTGGCCTCGTCCTTTCACTGCCAGAGCCAGCCCAGCCCAAGACAGAGAGAGAGCACACAGGTCTTGGCCCGAGCAAGGAGCAGAGTTTTTAGAAAGTCAATGTCGGAGTCAGGGAGGATGGGGCAGGAATGAAGCAAAAAGAGATCTCAAGGATTTCTAATAGTTTTCTTTAAAATTATACGTAGGGTTAAGATACAAAAAGAACTCTAATCAGTGCGGGCAGAGTGAACTGAACAGACCCAAGCAATTCTTATTCTCCTGCCAAGCTTTCTTTTGGACCAATGGGTGTACAGCAATTAGTTGAAGTCAGAGCCAGTCTGTGGCTAAGGGATGGTTTTATATAGAGGTTACACATGATTCAAACTCCACTGGCATCATATTTTAGGCCAGAGCTCTCCCGAGTGTCTCCCCTGGAATAATACAGTTCATGGGAGTGTCATTAAGAATTAGCCAGAAAAAAGACTCCATGGTCAACAACCGATTCAATGGAGCTAAGGCAGTTTCTTGACTGTAAGACTTCTCAGAGCTTTTCGTATATTAACATATGGCGTGACTCCCCAAGAGGAAGCACGCATATGATGTTTCTCAAACTTATTAGTGACTTGAAATTAGGGTTCTGTGGAACACACTTTGGGAAACCCTGCTTTAGTCACACTTATCTGGATAACCAGTGTCTCAATATCCCGGGACTGAGGGGATGGATCCTGGGTCCATATGCTTGCCCGCCTGCTCAAGTGAGCTTCTGGTGGTGTTACCTGTTGCATTCCTCCACTAAGGCCTCCCTCTCTTCCTTGCTGGGGTTCTTTTGCCGGTCGTAGGCCTGGTACAAGATTTGCTGGGACGCGGGCCCCCATTTGAACCGGTTGCGACGCATCTTCTTGTTGGTGGGCTCAGAGCAGGCGTCATCGGACTGCCCAGGCCCCTGGCTCTGTTGACTGAACTCTGGAAAGAGAAATAGCAGCTGATCCTGACTGCTTTTGTCTGTCATATTTCCAGAACTCTGGACTGTCTGGTTGAATTCTGAAAAGAGAAAGGAGTAGATTTGATAGGGTCTGTAGCCTTCACTCGGCAGACAGACAGACAGATAGACAGACAAAAATACCTTTATTCCTCTCCCCTAAGCTGTGTGATCTGCCGTTATCGCATGTGGAAGTGCAAAGGGGGGCCTTTCCTTTCTTTGAAGGAGCTCAGACGTAGCCAACCATTGTTTAAGGGCAATTTATTATTTTTTTTCATTGGCTCACTGGCCCTCAGACATGAAGCAAGGCTCTGACTCCTGAACTCTTGTATTTTGATGTCAAGGGGATGAGCTCAACCCCGTCTCCGGTCCAGAGGGAAAATGCTCTAAGGTACAATTTGTCCTTTGATAAAATATTCAGAGAATGAAAATAGCTCTCCCCACCCATACATGTAGATCTAGCCTAGTACCTGCATTATAATGTCGCGCTCTTAGAAAAAGCCCCAACGCAAAACCTTCTAACTACTGCTTCGAAATAGATATAACCAGAGCTTCGTACTGGGAAGAGAAGAAGCTCTTTAGACCTCAGACAATTTCAAAGACAGCGGTATGAGTGTGCGTGTGTGTCCAGAGGTCCCTTTATGAGGGAAACAGCCCAAGAGGGGAAGGCCTTACAGACTTGCGTACACATTGAAAGATGGCAAATGCAGAGGGCTGCAAACATAGGCCCTTACCAGGAATGGCATTTTTTTTTTTTTTCCAGAAAGATCAGCCCTGAGCCAACTACCGCCAATCCTCCTCTTTTTGCTGAAGAAGACTGGCCCTGAGCTAACATCTGTGCCCATATTCCTCTACTTTATATGTGGGACGCCTACCACAGCATGGCTTTTTGCCAAGTGGTGCCATGTCCGCACCCAGGATCCGAACCAGCGAACCCTGGGCCGTCGAGAAGTAGAACATTCGAACTTAACAACTTCACCACCAGGCCGGCCCCCAGGAATGGCATTTAACATGATGGAGAAGGATAAGTGCAGATGAAATGATGCTGTCTGTCTGGTCCAATTCCCAGGGCCAGGCACATAGTGACCCTTAATATATTCTTGTTGAATGAATGACAGAAAGACAGCAGCTCGCCCCCTGGGGATACCCGAGCCTATATGGTTTAAATGAGATTCGATATTCACTTGTGGAAGAAGAGAGCTTTGTTGTTCTCTTCCTCCTGTCTGCATGAAGCAGAGTTCATCAGGGTGATTAGTTCCATTTTACAGATGAATAAGCATAGAGGCCAAGCACCCTGCTGAGCAAGGACACACAACAGATTCATTTCCCAACTCCTGGTCACCCTGCTCTGGACCTTGATGTTTTTCTTTCTTGGTTCCTGGAATCACTCCTGCACGTCTCAGGGACAGCTTGGATCCCAAATCCTCAAGGTTCAAAGTCAGGCTACTATTTAATGTTTGAATCCCCTCTACACCCCTCTACCACGTGGTCTTGTCATCTATATACCTCCAGCAATGGGGAACTTACTACTGGTCTAGGGATCCATGTCCATTTTGGTCTGTCACAAGGAGCAGTGGGCCCCTAACCAGCCTAGACTTAGGACCCCAGCTGGGGTGGATCGGGCTTTGTTTAACCAGCTGCTGATTGGCCACGTTAACGAGCAGTCTCCCCGGTAGACAGACTGAACACAGCACAGGGTCCTTTGATTTGGGCCCCATCCACTTTGGATGATTCTCAGGCCATGAGGGCTCTGTTTTCACTGGTTCTCAACAATTCCTTTAGAACCTGAGAGAGTCTCTCCCAAATTTACCGGCAGGAAGGCACTGACTCAGTGAGCTAATGTAGGGCCCCAGCTAAGCTACTTACTTCCCCGCTCTCTCAGCTTTCCCATCTGTGGAATGGGACAGGGTGAGAACCTAAGGGGTACTAATTAATCTTTTAGAACATCTACCCCTAGTCAGGATGACGACCACAATGACCCAAATTCCTATGTGCTTTCACACCCCCTAAATTATTTGTTCTTCACAGGAGTAATCTAAGTGAGTTATGTCAGGGACAAGCAGAGGGGGAGAAAGGAGTTTCGTGTTCAGTGGGGGTCTGTCTCAGTGTCTTCCCTCCTCCCTGTGGCCCTGTGGCATCCCCATAAATAATAGCCAAAGCCAGTATGGATGATCCCAAGGACCTGGGCTCCATTTGAGGGTCTTTGTTTGTTGTGAACAGATATAATAACGTTTATTGAACCATTTCTATGGTGAGGTATTATACAAAGTCCCCTAACTGTCTCCATCCCATCTAATTCTCACAACCTCTCCATGTGAGAAGTTTTGTTATGTCCAATTTATAGATGGAGAAACTGAGGATCAGGCTGGTTGAGTGACTTGCCCAAAGTTGCATGGACTTGGGGCAGGAGCCAGAATGAGAGTGCAGCCTGTAGACACTAAGCCTCCTAACCAGCAGCCTATGCATCACCTCTTGCTAAAAACTCCACTCAATACACCCACAAAGCCTTCAACTCAGCCTTAGGTGGAGGTAACAAAACCGACTCCTGCAGTTTCGTTTGTGGCAGTTGTGAGACACACTCCCAGCTGCCCACAGTTTGGGGGGCTACCTCTGTGTCTTGGCTGCCTGGTGTTCAGAACCAGTGCGTGCCAGGATCACCCAGGCTGACTTGCCTTCAGGTGCTCAGAAACATCCAGGTTCTACCCACTTCAGGGTCTCGGCCCTAGCCTCTCTCAAGTTTTGAAGAATTAGACTGCCACATGTCCTCCAGCCACCACCAACTCTCCTCCACTTCCGTCCAGCTTAATGTTGGGGTTGGGGGAGACAGAAAATATTCCTTGCTCATAAAAATTAGCTTGGAGAAGTTGGGTTCAGCAGCCTCCTTATAGGCTCAAGAGCCAGCTTGGGCAAGGAGATTCTGTGCGTGTAGATGGGCCCATGAATACTACCATTTATTATTTTTAGTTTTTCAAGGAAATATGAAATCATGTGACATCTTTTCAAAATTCTCCCCCCCCCCCCGCCGCCTTTCTTCTTCCACCCACTCCACTCACTTGTGTCCTTCTTTTATTTATCTCACTTCCTAATGTTTTCCCCTTGATTTTGTGTATGGTATTCATCCTTCAAGACTTGGCTCAAATGTCACCTCCTCTAGGAAGCCCTCTGTGATGTCTCCAGGCAATTTAGCAGTTCCCTGCTGCCCCTTGTGTATATCTTTATAACAGCCCTTAGCAAGTGGCGTCATCACTCATTCAAACATCTCATCTTCCTCATTAGCTTGTAAGTCCCTGGAGAAAAGGAGCTGTGTATCCCACAGCCCAGCACTGGGCTTGGCTCCTATTAGGCACTTACATAGTATTTACAGAATGAAGGAATCTTTCTTAAGCTTTGTCTCATGTGACTTTCAAACAATAATAATAACAACAACAATAAGAAATCCTTTGCAGAAACTGTCACAAGCTTTTGTAAAATGTCCCTTCTCGAGCATCTTGAGAAACTTTCTAGGACTTCTGTCTCTTTAGAAGCTTCCAGTTGGCCTTTCCTGCCTCCTTCTCCTTTCAGGGGGAGCTCCCAGTGAATACACGGAGGTAGCTCAAGCTGGAGATGCCACATGGGGCTTGGACAGGGGTGCGGGCAGGTCCAAAGTGTTCTCTGGCCTTTGGAGACTGTGGCTCCTGAGAATTTTCTTGGACTTTCCAGGAATTACAGAGAGTTGCTTCATGTCAGAAACACAAATTCTTACAGACCTAGCCACCATGGATGACAGATCAACCTAGAGTTTGAAAAGGGCCTCCTCCCTATGCAGCAAAGAGCTCTCGCTTCTTCTAATCTATCCTTTAATGCTTCCAACAAAGGACCAAACAACCACAGCATAAGATGAATGCCTGGAACCTTCCTTTCCACCATGAAGGCCTTTCCAGCCCACAGACATTGAGACAATAAATGCTGAAACAATCACTTGAGCAGGGTGTGAGAGAAAACAAGAGTGATTTCAAAAAGTGGCCATCCAGTGAGAGGGAAAAAACCCAACCCAGAAAGTGGTGCAAACTAATATCTTGACAAGAACAGAGAAGGCCACGGCCCAGAGGATAGAGTGTGGGGAAGAGTGAAAACTCCTACAAAATTCTCCTAGGGAAAGGGCTAAATCGAAATAATTAAAGAATAATGTAAAGGTATACTTTCCTAAAAACAAAACAGTATGTTATTCATACTCTTGTCACTCAAATGCAGTTCAAACTTCCCTGGACTTCAAAACAAAAATCTCTCAGAATTATTGAGTGGAAGAGATCTTGGGCCAGAAAGGAAATTTGGGGATGGAAATGAGAATGAGGAGAATTGACTGGTCAGAGTTCCAAAGGCAGACAATTTCCCTGTGTCCTGCCGCAGCCAGAAGCAGCTTCCTCATTAGACAGGCTCACCAGCCTAGGTCCCAAAACTCTACCAATTTTTGTAAATGTAAGTAAGCACTTTTAATTGCTTCAGAACTCAGTTCTACTCCAGACCTTCCCAAATAACAGGATCAGGTTCTGAATAGATCTATGCATACAAACACCTTCTACTTTTTATACTCTTTACAGAGGGCAGGAAAATAACAGTAAAGTGATCAGTATTATTGACTGCTGTGAAATGTCTTTTTTGGAAACTCTGTTCTGTGGTCATGTATCAAGGGGAGCAGCTTGGCTTACTTTGGGGACGATATTCCACTGTTACCTACTTAGTTTCAGAGAGAAAGCTGTTGGGAGAAGGGACCAAAAAAATTCAAGGTACACTGCACCCACCGAAGGACTCGTCAAAGCAACCGGCTGGGTAGTAAGGGATCATGGGAGAAGAAAATGACATAAGCCAACCCATTGTACAGCAACCTGACCGCCAAATCCACCTTCTAGCTTCCCTATATTTGCCAAGTGCTATGCAGGCCTTCCTGATAAAGGAGAAACTGAGGCATCCCACAGGGGTCAGAATTAGGGCAAAGGTCGCTCCAGGTTGAGGCAGAGGCAGGATTAAAGCACTTACGTCGGAGGATCTCCCGTTGCTTTCGGACGTACCAGGTGTACAGGGCGGCCCGCTTCTGGGTCTTCATAGGGGTGCCCTTGTTGAGATGCTGGGAGAGATGTGACTGGTTCAGACCGGTGACATCGACCACCTCCCTCTGGGGGATGTTGTGTTGCTGCATGTAGCCCTTGATCATTTTCGCAGCCCTCCAAGGGTCCTCACTAGACAGATAAGCAGATGGTTAGGACGCTGGTGGAAGATGCCCGGGGAGAAATACTCTCTTTCTAGGGGTTTTACCTAAACTCTGTGCAGAACTCTGCTCCTCACCTATATCTCCGCCTGTCCAAGCTACATCCTTGGCAGAGATTTGAGAAACCATTATAGAACCTAAACGAAAGAGAAGATGAAAGCTCGTACATGGCACACTCCAACCCTCCCTTCCCAGATCAGGAGGGCCAAGATGAAGATTACTTCTCGTCTTCAGGAACGGGAAAGCACTACCAGCACTCTCTGTGGTTAAGCAGAAAGGAAAGTTCTTGTTTTATTTGGCTTTCCTTTATTTTCTTGGAATGTGAGGGACTTAAAAGGCAGGAGACCCACTGGAAAGTGGAGATGTCATTCACCTGGGGTGGGCTGGCTGATCCTACGAGGATAGGAGGTAGCCTCAGTTTCTAAATTCACCTAGACATCTCCCACATTATTTTCCTTCTGAATGGGTGTCTCACTTTTTTGTCTTATAAAATAGGGGCAAAACTTTTGTGTCCACCTCTTGAGAAGAAAGGAGGACTTCTTAGCTGAATGTTGAATGGTTTGCAGAGTTTCAGAAAAGTTTTAAGAAATACAGTGAAACGAGTTTTAAGAAATGCAAGGGAACTTCCTCCCTGGGATGGAAGAATCACTCCGCCGAGGCAGACAAGCACAGTTGAAAAAAAAAAAAAAACAAAAACTCCACAGCCCCGCCTCCCAAATAAAACCTAATGGGGATGAGTAATTTCAATTTCTGAATAAGATATTAAAGACCCCAAATGCCTCGTTTTTGCTCTATTCTTACATTTCTCCTCTGATATGATAAGAGTATCTGGAAGGCAATGTTTCTCATAAATTTCAAGTTTGGAATAAGAATATGGTTATACTTTTCATTCCTCTTAAACACAGGCATGCAAAGAGCTTTAGAACAATGCATTAGTGCTTTTGAATTTTATTTATTGAAAATGTTTTCAACTTTGCCAATATCTTTTCTTGCTTATTGAATAGGTGACTTAAAAACGGAGATATCCTTTAAAACAAGAAATTTAAAAAATAACGCACAGTACAGAATAGAAGTATTAAAGAAACAATACATCCACACAATGTATTTAATGCAGCTACATATTTAACTTAAAAACAGCCTCCTTTTACTGTATGTTGTTGTATATACTATTCTGATACAACACGAAAAAATGAAAGGAGAAATTAGTTTCAGATGAAAAAATAAAAAACAGTATAAAGCTGTGCCAAAACAGATACAGTGTTGCAAATGAAATAACCAACTTATTTCTAAATGGTATCTATAATATGTCAAATAAAATTAATTTTGTTTAATGGATTTAAAAATCTAGTAATTAAACTAAGATATTTTGTAAGCATTTGAATAATTCTGATTATTTTAGCAAATCTTTGATATTAAATTCATGAGAACACAGGCTTTGATAGAGATGTTTTTGAGAAACGTAAACTTTTTAGATGAATTGTATATAAGTTAACGAATTTCTCAAGTATTTATAAAGGTACTTCCAAGTAACACAACATTTTGAAGTAATGACAACAAAAAATGAGAAAACGCGCTACAGTTTCAAATATGGAGAACGCACCTCGACTAAGAGAAAAATAATGTAACATTTTGGACATACCCGTGCAAACATTAGCGGTCATTTAAAAACTTATTACTGGCGAATATTTCCACTGATATTTTCAGGGTGGAAAAACACTTTCGACAGATACGAACAATTGCTTCTAAAGTTAGAAAAAGTATTTGGATTTTCAATATACTTTTAACAGACTCTATTTTTGATTTGTTTCTTTACCTGTGTTCATTTGGTTTCTAAGAAACCTAGCAAAATAGCGTAATGTTCTTAGAGCGAAAGGTTCCGTGGAAAGAGTAAATTAGCTTACCAGCTGGGAAGGTTTAAAAAAAAAAAAAAAGCCCAGGAAAACCTTCTAACTGTAGCAAACCTTTAAGCCCGCATTGAAGGACTAGAGTTGGGGGTAAGATGGCGTAGGTACACCTTTCCAGCCCTCTGATCATAGAATTCACATGTATTCACCGGGAAAAGCCTGGAGAGCAGGTTGCGTTTCTTTATTTGAAAATACAGCTCGTGTTCAGGGGTCCCACCCGCGGTAAACACACGGATCGGGAGAAGCGCGCCGGGCCATTGTGCTCAGAGCGCAGGTGTCAAACGCCCGGCCGCGGCGCCCGCCTCTCGCCGGCCCAGCGCGCTCCTTCTCAAACAATGCCTTTGCTGCCCACGAGCAGAAAAGCCCTGGACCCCGCACAGGTCGCCACGCGGTGGGTGAGAAGCCGCCACTCTGGCTTCTTAGGAAGCAGCCAACTTTGCAAACGCCCCCCCCGCGCCAGCCTAGAGGCCGGCTCCCTCCTGGAGCCCGGGCCCGGGCAGCAGGCGCGCGGGCCCCATCTTCCTTTCTATTCTAGCCTTTCTGTTCCAGGACGCTGCAGAGCGTCCAGGCGCTCCCCAACGTGACTTTTCTTCTTTTCTTTCCGCCTTAGGGGAGCAGGGTGGGCAAAGGAGGGAGTGGGAGTGTCTGGCGCTCAGGAGCCGACTGTGCAGTGACCTGGGAACCGCTAGCAATTTCTTGAAAAATTACTTTAATAAAGTCCGACCACTCCCGAAGGTGGGGGAGGGAAGGCAGCACCCGCTTGGGCAAGCGAGAACAACCTCGGGGTCTGTCCCGCGTCCCCACCCCAGCGAGGGTCTCGGGCCCCCGATGCCTCCCTCCCCGCCCCGCTGGAGCTGGGGCTTAGCAGAGGGAAGAGGGCTGAGGTCCCGGACCCGGGCCGGGCCTGGCTCTGCGCCGGCCGGGCCTGCAGGTGTCGGCCGCCCCGGGGCTGCGCCGGCTGCTCGGGCGCCAGGGCTGCGGGCGGCGCGGGGGGCTTGGCTGGGAGCGCCCCGCAGCGCCGTGCGTGTGCGCTGGGAGCGGCGGGCAGCCCCGCGTCGGCGTTTTGATTTCCTTCCCCCTCTAAGCCGGATTTACAGCTTCACCAATGAATAACCCGCCTCTCTTTTCAACCTAATCACGACTCTTTGTGTATCTTTCTGTTGATGATTTATAGAAATAAATTAATAACACCCTAACTCCACGTGCTGCAGTTTATGTTACATCTCTGCGGCGTCCAGCCCCGCGCAGGGCTGGGTGCGGAGGGGCGCACTAGGTCGCCTGGGGTTTTCCAGACCATCCCAGAGCCCGGCTAGAAAGCGGGCTCTGTGGCCAGGAGGATGGGCCTAGGCCCCGCGAGCCCCCAGTGGCAGGCGGCGGGAGCTCGGTTAGTCTGCCAGGCCCTGGTCGACCTCCAGGCCGCCCCGCGCCCCGTCCTCTCCCTTCCGACCCCTCTCACCTTCCTGCGCCCTAACCTCGGCGGGGCAGAAACCGCCGCCACTGGGGAAACCGCGGGGGAAGAACCCCAAACCTACGTCTTGTAGCAAAATACTTTTGGGGGGAAAAACCTAGAAGTCCCCTTGATTGTCTCTGCTAGAGAGTAAGCCGCAGGCCCCCCAAAAAGCAAATTCAAAGGCAAGGTCATATCCCATCCCAAACGGCCGCTGCGGGCGCGCGACCGAGGCTGCCCGAGTCCCGGGGCGCGACTTCGGTCCTGGCCCTGCCTTGAAACCGCGGCGCTCAAGTGTCCGGGGCCACGCGGGGGGCTCGGTCCTAAAGCACAGCGGCCGGGAGCGTTGTGCGTGCGGTCTAGGGAAACCGCTGGGCTCCTTGGATAATTAGTAACCAGCTGTCAAAGCCCTAGGCCGGTTGGGGAGGCCCAGCGAACGATCCGGGACCGGTAGATAGCCAGCCAGCCAGCCTGCCTGAATTCCCCGGGGACGCCAGGGTGTAGGCGGCGAGATTGCGACCAAATCCGCCGCGAACTGGGGCGATTCGCCCCTGGCTTGCTTAGATCCTTGGTTTCTTTTGCCCCTTGCGGGTCTATCCTGACCTTACAACAAGCAAATATTTTCTTTTGCAAATCTCAACTGGCTTTGGAGATTCCGGGTAATCCAGGGGCGTTGCATGGGCGTTGCAGATGGGTATCCCCACCAGAGAACTCGCCCCCTAGACCCCCGCCCCGGGGGTCGCCTGTCCCTCTGCAAAGAACGGCGGGACGCTGTGCCCGAGGTTGGCCTGCGTTTTCCTGGGCCGGAGAGACGGCGCTTGGAAGAAATGCGTGGCATGGGGCTCGCGCGGGCCCGAGCCTCGTCTCCTGGGAAATCACCTCTGTTTCACTGCACCCACTCACACCTTCAGTCGCGTGGGCAAACCTCCCTGCAAAGGGCTCCGCAGCTCGGGGTCTCCCAGGCCGAGCCCCAGTCCGGCCGACAGGGCCCCTCGGGTCCGGGCGCTGGCCTGGGCAGGGGGAAGAGAAGCCTCAGGGCTCCGGCCGGCCGGTTGAGGGATTGGGAGGGGTCCAGGTGTTGGGAGAGAAGCGGAGCGCCCCCCGGGGGACTTCTCTGGTGGGAAACAGGCTTGGCAAGGGCGGTTCGGCGCGGTGTTGCTCAGGCACAAGGCCCTGGGCTCAAGGGGCTCGGGAGCGCGCTCCCCACCTCGGTGGGCGCCTACCTGAGCATCCGGTCCACCTCCGCCCGCTGCTCCGCCGCCTCCTCGGTGTTGAGCGCCTGCAGCTCCTTGAGGATGGGAGGGGTGTCATAGTCGTCCCCGTCCTCGGAGCCCTCGTCCCCGGACAAGCGGCCCTTGGCGTGGCCGTTCGTGAGAGTATGGAAGACAGGCTTGGTGTCGGGCTCGGCACCGCTCCCAGGGGACAGGGGCAGCGTCTCCAGCTTCACCCCAAAACTCGGAGACGGCAGCAACTCCTCCAAGGCCTGGACCAGCACCTCCTTGGTGACCCCGGAGCTCAGCAGGGCGCTCAGGAGTTCTTGCTGGAGCGACGTGAGCTTGGACACCATTTTCCAAGGACAGAAAAAGAAGGGGGTGAGGGGGTGGGAGGGTGAGAGAGAGGAGGGTGGAGGGGAGTTTCACAAGCGAACCTTAAGTCCAGGAACCCCCCCACCCTTCAGCCTCCAGACACCTGTTACTCCCCGGGGTCCCGGAGTCTCCTCCGAGAGGAGTCAGAAAACTTCTAACTTGCCATGATCGCCACCATTAGGCCATATAAGATATGCAAATTAGTGGGGAGGGCCGGCTTTCGGCAAGATGCAAATGCTGGTGGGGAGGGGGAAAACCGAGAGAGAGGGAGAGCAAGAGGGGCAGACGAGGAGAGCTAGAGACCCGGGCCGGGAGCGGGGCTTGCCAGGGTCCATTGTACTCACGCTGGGGGGCTGAAGACCTTCTTGTACTGGTTCTTTCTATCAGCCAAACTTTAGCTGAACTTTGGACTTGTTAAGCAAGTAGTTGGCAGCCTAGCGTGGAAGGCGCAGGGGCTTTTCCACCGGCTGCGGGTTCGGCTTTAGCCTGGAGAGAAGAAGAAACTGTGCTTCGGGGTTCAGGTGAGAGCTGGAGGAAGTTGGGGTGCTCTGGGGAGGAGATGGAGGAGGATGCGAAGCGTAGAGACCCTCCGAGGCGTCTCAACCGACGCAGCTGGTGGGCCGGGAGCCAGCCTGGAAGAGGAGAAACCGACCACTTGGGAAGGGACGCGGAGACCTGGGAGAAGTGGGAGGTGTTAGGCGGGGTGACCGTGGATTACTGGGACCCCATTTAGTTCTACCCGGGTTACCGCTCTGTGCTCACCAACCGGGTCTGGCGGTTTGGGTGTGCAGAACTGCCCGCCCTGAGAGCGTAGGCGAGCGGTAAGGAGGCCCACAGAACCCTTGGAAGGAGGCGCCGACTAATTTATGGCCAGGGAGTGTAGCCAAAGTTAGGTGCCCCAGCAGCGAGTGCAACAGCACCCAGCCTGGCCAAGCCAAAGCCGCGGGGAAGCTGGACGCCTAGCACGCTCGGGTTTAAACCCGGAATATCAAAGCGCCTCTGCTTTCGGGGCAAAAGTAGGATGGCGCGGCCTCCTTTCCAGCGGTGAAAGCAAGGCTTGGCCTGGAGCTGGATGGACAGCTGGAGCCGTTTGTCCTCCGGCCCACTGATTTCTGGTTTCTTCGCAGCTCCAGAACACGGCGGTCCCCGGGGCCAGGGACGGCGCTCTGCAGGCGCGAGGTCACGGCGGCAGTGGTGGGAGAAGGCGCGAGTGGACAAGGCGCCGACAAAGCTGCGGAAGGAAAGAAGTCTTTTTTCCACCCTGGCCTGGGCCGGAAAGGAAGCCGGGAAC